AGCCACCTCAAAGTTGAAGGGCAATTTCTAAACTTTCTAAATGTAGGTCTGGGTCTTGTGATTCTCACAATATAAAGCTCTTCGCTGTAGGATTTATACGACCGTTTGAAGATGGCAACCGCCAGTGAAGTGAGCAATTTGGAGCAGTTTGTTTTTAACCGCTCTTCTCTGCCCTTGCTGTAGAGTGAGTTGCCATAGGAACCCAGCTGTGTGAGCAGCCAGCAGAGTATTCCAGAACACAGAGGCTGCTAGATGAAACACATTCTCTAAACTGCTGTCATTCCTACAGTTTTGATAACACAAAAGTGAGCACTATCGCATTTGAGAAATATATTTCCATGTTAGTCAATTCTTTATACCTGTAACAGAAAAACAATGTTACAACAATACAGCTAATCAATGTTTCATAAAGTTACTCTGCCCAGTCCAACCTTTCCACAGTTACTCCAGCTACTCCAACCACACAACAGTTACTCAAGCCACTCCACCCAGTTACTCCGCCCACTCCAGTTGTAGACTACTAGTGGAGGCAAGAACACTTCACACAATTTCCCCAGAAATTGTAGCTTTTCTAGTTGAATTTGTTCTGTTGAGTGGAATCATTACCTTCAGAGAAAATGCAGTGCTTACATTACAGCCTAGTGATAACTTCACTGTCCACTCCTCAGATGGCTGTTAGAGATCCTTCCTGGGTCATGGCTGCCTAAAATGCATCCAAACATTCAGTATCTCCTCCCTCTGCATGCAGACACTGAACTTTCCTCATAGAGATTCATTGATTCAATTCATCTCTATGAGGAGATGCAGATTGGCCAGGTTTGTGTTTGAATCATGAAAAAATTCACAAATCTGAAGAAAAACACTCCAGATAAGTAAATAGTGACTGGAAATTAGATTTGGATAAATAATATCAAAATATGAAAATAATAATAAAGCAAAAAATGTTTGTGAATATACCAAAAAGAGGTCAAAAAACGATCAATATATAGATCTCCACAGCTATCAATAGCTGTACCTCCCTAATGTCTATGTTGGTTGATGTCAAATCAGACTTCTGACTTTAATATTATAATCAGTGTCAATGTCTGAAAAATATGAGAATACAAATATCATAGACATCTATTCTAATTTAACACAGCATTTGTATCAAAATATCAAATATATGGCAAGCTTGCAACAAAAGTTAAATGTAATGCTGCTGCCTCATTGTTCAAGTTGTGCTGTTAAACCTGTAGCTAGAGGGGGGTGAAAGTAACCTGTTATATACTATTCAACAGGCTAACCATTAATGTAACTGTGTATGGGATTGCATTCATTGCGTGAATACCCAACAGAAACAAAATAACCAGTCCTTGTAAATAAACAATAAAAATAACAACATTGCTATCAAAAAAATCAACGGCCTGATCGTGGCTGCCTCTGATACTAGATATAAGAACAGGTATATTTAGGTTCACTCCCCCAATAGTACTTGGAAAGAATATGCAGGAGGAATAAAGAAGAAAGAAAAACAGTTAATGCGTGCTAATGTGCAGGACCATACTTAGAATGTTGGTCCCTGCACATGTGACAGTGTGCCCTGTGAAGTGAAGAGAAGTGAAGAAAACCCTGACGAAGGTGCACGTTAGCGGCACCGAAACGCGCGTCGGGTTTTCTTCACTTCACAGGGCACACTGTCACATGTGCAGGGACCAACATTCTAAGTATGGTCCTGCACATTAGCACGCATTAACTGTTTTTCTTTCTTCTTTATTCCTCCTGCATATTCTTTCCTAGTACTATTGGGGGAGTGAACCTAAATATACCTGTTCTTATATCTAGTATTAGAGGCAGCCACGATCAGGCCGTTGATTTTTTTGATAGCAATGTTGCTATTTTTATTGTTTATTTACAAGGACTGGTTATTTTGTTTCTGTTGGGTATTCACGCAATGAATGCAATCCCATACACAGTTACATTAATGGTTAGCCTGTTGAATAGTATATAACAGGTTACTTTCACCCCCCTCTAGCTACAGGTTTAACAGCACAACTTGAACAATGAGGCAGCAGCATTACATTTAACTTTTGTTGCAAGCTTGCCATATATTTGATATTTTGATACAAATGCTGTGTTAAATTAGAATAGATGTCTATGATATTTGTATTCTCATATTTTTCAGACATTGACACTGATTATAATATTAAAGTCAGAAGTCTGATTTGACATCAACCAACATAGACATTAGGGAGGTACAGCTATTGATAGCTGTGGAGATCTATATATTGATCGTTTTTTGACCTCTTTTTGGTATATTCACAAAAATTTTTTGCTTTATTATTTTCATATTTTGATATTATTTATCCAAATCTAATTTCCAGTCACTATTTACTTATCTGGAGTGTTTTTCTTCAGATTTGTGAATTTTTTCAATATTCTAGGAATAGGGGTTATGCCCCATATGACACTGCTGGAGTGTCAATAAAGGTGTTTTTATCTATGGAATGGGCAAACTAACCCTATCCATAGATATATTTTGTCAATTGGAAATTGTGTTTGAATCATGCTGATCTGCCCATGATCTGCCTCTTTGTCAGTCTCAGCCAATCCTATGGGGAAGCTCTGTGATTGGACCAGGCTACCACTTCTGATGATGTCAGCAGACTGCTTGTTTTTGTTGTTGTTGTTGAGGCAAACAGCATGCAGAGTTACAGCTTCTGGCTTGAATACAGTAAGATTTTTCTATATTCATGGAGGCATGAGGGGCCAAAGGGGGCTAGATGGTGGTTTTAACTCTATAGGGTCTGGAATACATGTTTGTGTTCTTGACCCTATAGTGATCCTTTAATGTTACAGGTGTATGATTATTTTATTGTTACAATGTGATGAAAGGGAGGGAGAATGAAATAATCAAGGTAGAAAATAGGGCAAACAAATTTAAAGGAGACTAACATGGCAGGGAGAAAAAAAAATGAGGTAAGAAAAAAAGAAATGTGAATATAGAGCCAGATGAGGAGAAATTTAGGAAGTAGCATTGCATTAAATAGTGTATGTATTAAATGGTACTCAAACAAAAAAAAAAAAAAGTTTGGAGAAACATTGAGTAAGGTCACCTAAGATCCCTCCACCATGTCAGAGATCAAAAAGGTGAGAGAAGATATAGCAGAACAGACACTGAAAAAATGAATAAAGCCATCCTAATTTTAAAACAAAAATGGTACTATGCTGCTAAACGATCCAGTAAAATTTAAAAAAAAACAAGTTAAAAAATAAAAAGTGCAGACATTATTTAAAAAAATGTGGTGAAGGAAAAAAAGCTTCTAACTCCCAAACAGATTAGCCAAGCATTTAGGGACTATTACATATCCTTATACAATTTAGATGATCATAGTCATTCTAATGTAGAAATGTCATTTTTTTTAGATAATCTCAAACTTTCTAACATTTCTTCTGATAAATTAGAGTCTTTGAATAAGCCTATATCAATATCAGAAATTAAAATTTTTATTAATTCTTTGAAATCAAATAAGTCTTCTTAGCCAGAGGGGTATTCCGCAGGTTTTTTTTCAGAAATTTGAAAAACTATCATCAACTTTATTATTAAGAACATATAGCCAATTTAATTCTAGTAACATTATTCCATCTGAAATGTTACAAGCTACCATTACTCCAATACCAAAGGTTAATAAAGATCCTACTTCTATTACAAATTACCGGCCAATATACCTTATTAACTTGGATATAAAAACGTATTCTAAAATTTTATCCGAGAGGTTGGAGGAAGTTCTCCCAGATTTAATCCATTTAGATCAATGTGGGTTTATCAAGGGAAGAAGTACTAACGATAATACCAGAAAGGTAAATATAATTTATCATATGAATTTACAAGAGGAAGACTCGATTATGATGGCCCTCAATGCCGAATAGGCCTTTGATCAGGTGAATTGGCGGTATTGGGAGCCTTCGGCATCGAGGGTACATTTAGGAAGAGTATTATGCTTTTGTACACCAAACCTACAGCTAGGATCTCTGGCTATATGCTTCTTTCAGATTGGTTTAAAATTAGAAACGGCACTCGGCAGGGTTGTTCTCTTGCCCCACTGCTGTACATACTGATGATGGAACCTCTGGCCAACTTGAGAAGACAATACTATACTTGATTTTGAGTATATCAAATCAAGATTTAAATTCGACTGGTATATATGGATCTTGATGAAATTATAAAAAGAAAATTATAATTTTAAATTAGGTGATTTTAGAAATACTTTATTAAACTGGAAAGGGATGGAATTATCCTGGACGGGCAGGGCAGACATTATAAGATCTTACCTGCTTCCAAAAATGACGTATTTATTTAAAAATACACCATTTAGAATTGATAATACTGTCCTTAAAGAAATTCAACTAATAATTATTAAATTTATCTGGCAGCATAAAAACCTCAGATTAACTTCAAACATTTTATACAGAGATTTCAAAAGGTTAGGTTTATCTTTTACAGATATATTTTCTTTGTATAACAATATTACAACACATGCTATTGCGTGGGATAATTTTTCAACCCCAAGACCCATATGGTTCGAGACTGAAAAACAAGACTTGGGAAAATTGGAACCTTTCTTTTTACTTTGGTTAGGTATAGATACTAAGGGTAAAAGAAGCAGGTTTACTTTCACTCAAAACCCAATAATCAGAGACATTTACACATTTTTTTTACAAATGAAAGATTACATCTTTGGGATTACGAAACTCTCTTTTGTCAAATATGCCGTTAGAAACTATAGAACATAGGAGATATTAATTTGTCATGGTGGAGAGAAAAGAACATTAAATGCTTAAATGATCTAGCACCACATGTAATATTATCATCTTTTGATTTGCTTCAGTCTAGATATGATCTTCTGCCTAGAGAATTCTTTAGTTATTTTAGACTGAAAAACTTTATTTAAAAAAAAAACAAAAAAAGATTGATCATCCTTTAATTGATTTTCTAAATAAACATTACAAATATAAGACCACCTCTAGAGTTTCCAATCTCTTTACACAATTGCAGCCACAAGAATTTTTTTACCATGGATTAAATGGGAAAAGGAGATGAATGTTGAATTGAACTACGAGGGTTGGATAAAGGGCTTGTTGCTAGTAAGGAAGAACATACACAGTATGAATTTAATAAAAACCCTGTATAAATTAACATTGCATTGGCATTTAAACCCTGTTAGACTACACAAAATTTACTCTAATTTGTCACAAACTTGCTGGAGATGTGTAGTTAATGACAGCTCCTTTTCACATATTTGGTGGGGATTCCCCCGAATTAAAAAATACCATGAAGGCTCTACAAAATCTTTTAATATCCTTATTAGGGATTAGATTTGACTTATCTTCTCAGATGTTGCTTTTCAACACTCAGCTTCCAGAATTGTTTAATTGTGCCTATATCCTTAGCAGTAAAACTTTGGTGGACAGAGATATTGCAACAAATAGATTACCAATATAGAATGGAGGAAGCATTGGTTGCAAATTGGTTGCAAATAATGGTTGCAAATGGTTTTGAATATATTTTCTTGACTATTTGCATAAATATTTACCAAACTTTAAAGGCATGTTGAATTTACACCTAAAAATACATATGAAGAAAAGTCCCATAGCTATTCGTACAAAAACTTTACATTATGAAATATGTATCTCATTTTTAAAGACATGTAAATGTATATTTTTAATCTGATACTTTTTGTATTTATGCTCTTTGTACTTAATTGACTAACTATTTTGAAAAAAAAGAAGTGGTATATGTATCTGAGTAGTGGTGGAGCGAGACACACTCACTCAGTCTATCACGGTTATCTAAATGTAGACAATGCATACTGCTAATGTTAAAGTAGATCTTCAGTATAAGCATTATGGCAGGTGAAGGTCACAGATGAATAGGACGGTGCCTGCATCCTACTAGCACCATAAAAACACTTCTTTTGATGATGGCAGTAGACTAACAAGGAGAATATCGACAAAATTTCAGGCAGCATAAGGTATCAGCAGTATAAACACTTTCACCTCTCTCAGAAGCAATAAATGAATACATTATTTTATACTCCTGTATTCTCAGTCTCTTTTACCTCACAGGAAATACAAAGTCTCACTATTCATAAACACAGACATACTAATTCATATGCAGTATACCAGAACCCATTACAATAAACAGGGCATATCATTTAAGCAAAAAAAGTGTTTATTGTATAAACAAATTTGTATAATATAATTCATTTTTTTGCTCAGATATAAGAAACGCTATGTAAAACATTACAAAATGTAGTAGATATATTACTTTAATAGATTAGCCTTTCAAAAAAAAAAGTGTTGCCATATCTTTGAATTGGACACTGCATCAGAATAGAAATGGGTCAGGTTCAGAGTTCATCCTTGTCCTGCAACATAAAAAGTTTTATCACTTCACTTTTTTTGCAAACAATGTCTCAACTATTCCATGCACTGGGATAGTGACCATCACTGATGTATGTTTTTTTAATTATTGTTTTTCAAATAACTAGGTCTCTTATAATGACAGTCTACAGTAGTGCTTCTCAAATCACTGCTCAAAGATTCATCGGCCACAGTCCATGATATAGGATTTAAATAATAACAGTCCGGTATTTAGTGATGTTACAACTTAGTCATCCAAAGAATGACAAGAATAAAACTGTGACTAGTGGTAAGACGTTGTTTGAAGTGCACTGGTCTTCAGTGGGGCAAGCATATATCCATTTTAAAAACCGGAATAGAAAGACTGCATCATGTAGTGCAGCAATGATTTTAATGAAGCACTTGCACAGGGGTTATTTAGAAAGATGACAGGACCAATAATCTTGAAATGGATTTATGTATTTGCTGCTATTTCTGCCAACAGAAAAACATTGATTCTCAAAGGATTCTTTTCGAGACATTTAACCAAAACCAGGTGTCACTATGACAGCCTGCTATCACTGTATTGCTAATGCAGATTAGCAATATCAATTTAATCAATATTTGGACAGCACTGATTGTCTGGATGGCATTAAAGCATAGAGCATGCCAGCTGAGATGCTTAGACAATCAATGATGTCCAAATATGGATGAGATTGATACTGGTACTGCGGAAGCACAATTTCAGCATTAGCAATTCAGCAAGCAGGGTCTGGACTGTGAGAGGCCTGGGGATATCAAATATTTTGACATAGATATCAGGGAGAGCACTCACAGCATTCTAGTAGCATATCAAAGGGATGCATTTGAAACTACAATGGGACATTTTAAGCAACAACATGTTAGGAACATGATATTTTACAAAATAATGAGTGCAGAAAAAAGTAGAAAAGATGTACGCACCTCATTTCTCTGGCATTGACACGGGAAGAGGTGATCATGTGACAGCTCTACACGTTCCATACCATCTCTTATTTTAGGCTCATTAATCTGTAATCTTGCATAAGCCTACAACGAAAAAAAAAATAACTGGACTAAAATAAAATCTGAGTTTACAAGTGTTACATAAAAACTAGCATGTGACCTTGTAATACTGATCAAGAATATAAGAAGGAATGTGTTCTTTGGTTTTTAGTTAGAAATTAATAGACATGTGCAATTCGTTTCGGTCCGAATATGAATTCGAGGAATTCGGACATTCGGGTACTTCCGAATGTCTGAATTGCCGAAGTCCCGAAGTTTCCGAAATTACAGAATTTCCGAAGTACAGTATTGCCTAAGTACTAATAAACTTACCCAGGGAAAGAAGAAGAATGTTACATTGTATACAATTTTAAATAAAAAGTATACAAACATAGCCAGGATTCATATAAAATGTAAGTTACTTAGCCAGTCAATGTAATGACAGGAATGAATAAGTTAAAAAAAAAAAAAGGGCCCTAATGTAAAATAATGGGGGGACCTATTGTCCTCCCCCGGGCCCCCACCCCTGAGCGGTGGGTGGGTGCCCTAAATCAGAATAAGGGGGTGCCTAAGGTTTACCTGTCACAGCACTGATTGGTTGGTATGAAATCCACCAATCAGAGTGCTCTGTGTCATTTTACACAGCGTGGGAAAAGTTCTTTGGAATTTTCCAACGCTGTGTAATTTGACTCATAACAACACTCTGATTGGTGGATTAAGTAACCAATCAGAGTGTTGTTATGAGTCAAATTACACAGCGTGGGAAAATTCTAAAGAACTACTAATACTAATTTTTAAGTCTTTCAGCCTTTTGGTAGATAACTCCCTAATACCGTGGGAATTAGGGAGTTATCTACTAAGCGGCTGCAATAGAAGTCCCGAAATTCCGAAGTGTCGGAGTTGCCGAATTTCCTAAGTGTCGAATTGCCGAAGTCCCGAATTGCCAAAATCCCGAACCGAATATTTTCCCCATGCACATGCCTAGTTTTTATGCAACTTGGAATACACACTAAGTATTGGTTGGGTCACTCTGGTATCATGGTTACATGAAGTCTGCTCCTAGTTGCTATCATACCATTTGGCGCGCAGGAATGATGCAAACATATACAATTGCACTTTTGGTTATTTCTGCCAAAAGCTGGGTGCTCTTTTGTGGTCATTGCTGACCCAATAGTGCATTTCTTTTCAGTTCTGGTTTGTGATTTTGACCTTGGATAGTTTATCATTTTTTCCAATCACTGTGCTCAAGACTTTTGGTTTGTGTATTCCGTTGATCCGGTCTTCTACTGCCCTCGATCTTGACTTGCTCTTTGATTATCCTTACCATTAAAAAGGGACATTATAGGCACCCAGTCCACCTCATCTCACTGAAGTTATCTGAGTGCAGTGCCTCTGTTCCCCTTAACCCTGCAATTATAATTATTGCAGTTATTGAGATTCTGAAATAATTACCTTGCAGGGTAAACTCCACCTCTAGTGACGGTCTACTAGACAGCATCAAGAGGTGCATCCAGAGCCTTAGAAGACTTTTGGTCCGCTAACTGAAACTTTGCATGAGGACATCCAACACCAGCTAAACCCCTATGGGAAAGCATTGGATTATTAGGTACATTAGGTCCGTCCAACGGATGAGATCAGCAAAGGAGTGGCGGAGGCAAAGCCTGAACCAGTGCCGAGGGACAATGGTAATCAAATCAAGTAAGTGACAAAAGAGTAATTAACCCTTTATCAACTCTGGGAAGGGGGGAGGGGAGTGAGGACAGGGGATCCAGAGGGTTCTATAGTGCTAGGAATACACTATAGTTTCCCTTTAAGTCTAGCCTTTTTAAGGACACTTATTATTGACTATTTATGCTGTCTGTTTCTAGTGGGTTTTGGTTTGGGTGTCAGGGTCTTCACCTGCTGTGTTAAGGATCTTTCATTCTCTCTCCTGAACCAAGTCCTGCAGGGTCAGCTCAATCACTGAGAGTGTCAGCTGATCATTCTCAACCAATGAACTTTCACTGCATTGGTGTTTGGAGTATTCTTTTAACATGGCTCCAAATCACTCTTGCACTACCTAAAGCGAGAAGGCTATCAGGTACAACCAGTAATTAATAGTGCAATAATAAAACAATCCAATATCAGAAATTGTGAAAAATGATACCAAGTATAATAATGCTGTCTTATCCTATTGTAAGCTTGTTCATTGAGGGTCCACATTCATTTCTTCTTCCTATTAACATTTGTAATAGTTTGTTAATTGCCTAATATTAAAACTAAAGAACTGTGTACTATGTTGGCACTGTATAAATGCCAAATAATAATAATAAAAGTCCTATTTAGAATTAGAAGAACAAGGGGTTCTTCTTATCCAAGAGGTAACACCATTTGCACTCTTTGCTGATCAGTAATTTCTCTGTTAGCAATTGAGACTTCAAGGATAGAGTACATGCAAATTACAGACATTTAATTATGACATTGTAAATTGCTTTGCTGCATGTGATTTATGGTTGTCATAAATAAGCAAGATATTCATCCTTGCCAAAGAGGTTGCTTTCAAAGAAAGCCTCGACTACAATTGGCCTCCATGACAAGAACACTATAAAACTGAAGGTTTAGGCAATAAACATCTTAATATGTGTTAAATATTAAATATTTCAAGGTAACATTCTACTTGGATTGTAAAATCAGTTTAAAAATAAATAAATCACAATTGTAAACTGGTAGATGGAAACTTAGTAAGCAAAAAATATCAAACCTAAAAGTCCACCTTCGTAGATATCAAGGACTGGACTCTGTGACACTAGATTGCAGGCAATAGATTGTTTTAAAATAGCAGCAGGTGAATATTTTCGGTCAATTAGGGTCTCCATAAGAGCAAGGGAGGGGCAGAGTTTTTGTAAACATTTGCCATCCATGGTGCACAAAATAAAGGGCGGGGGAATTTCTGATAAAAGAGATGGGTAAATGCTACAACTTGTAAAAAAGATAAACTGATCAAGCTTGAAATTTTAGGCTCATTTTGAGATGACGAACATACCAAATGTTTGCTCGGGAAATACATGAGAGATTGTCTAGTCAGGAATTTCACAAACTACAGGCACTAGCCAATAAAAGTCAGAAGAAAATGCTATGAACTGGAGCCCTTAACCTACAGCACATTACAATCGGCAAGAAAAAGAAAAAAGGGAATGGAGAGAGATGGGAAATATAACAATTTGGCAAAGGTTATCAAGTATGCAATAATTTTGTAAAAAGTTAATACAAACAAATCATATGACCTGATGCATTCAAAGAGTGGAGACTAAAACTAATACATTTTTCATCTTGTAACTAAATGGACTATACACAGCACATTGACAAGGTAAGAGAAATGTAAGTGTTTTTTTTGTATATTTGTTTGTTTGTTTCCCCTCCCCCCCCCACATATGCTTCTCCTTCGCTATCTGCACAAAATAAGCACCATCAATAATATATTGAGGCCTATTGCCTACAATGTAAAGTCTATTCCTTGGTCAATAATGGTCAGGTTTGCCACCTGCTCTAAATTAGGTGACACTGGCTACTGAACTTGGCAGAATATGATGCAATTTTGCAATCTAGAATTATAGGCTGCTGAAAACAATTCAGAAGTAAGCATAAAACTTCTGTTAATGCAACACAATTGAGGGGAACGATCACAAAAAAAAGTAATTAGAAAGTAATTAAATTAGACACTCATTCTTGACCAATAATCCTATCACTCTTCTGGCATAGAACTGAGAAATTAGAAAATCATGTTTTGTCACCACCTTACTTTCTATATAAAATGAATATACCTTTAAAACAATTTAGGAGAGAGTTATTTTGCTTTGATCTTACTCTGTAGGCAATTTGTGCTAATATTGATTAGAATCAGTTACTATATTACGCTTATCATGCACACATAATTAAAAATAAGCAGTGCTGGAATCTTTATAATGTCAAAAGATCAAATCTCATGATATGACATATCTACATGGGATTTATCTGTGCACAGTAGTCTAGATAAGATCTATGTAATGCTATATAGTTTTTGCTGCAAGTCAAACTTGTTTTTAGAGATATGCTAAAGAACAAGGATTTAGATAAAATCTACTAAAGACTACTGTACACAGAACCTTACCTAGTATACACAGTCAACCAATTTTCATAGTTTGAATTCTTGATTTACACATGCCTACCAATTTTTCAGTTTTTATAGATCATAAACACATTTACTGTATGACTTTGATTATGTTGTTGTACCCAACAATTGTGTAAATATAGATTTATTTTATAATTTGACTTTTTTTTTTTACCCAAACTCATTTACGGAATTGTTTTGTGAATTTGGCATGTGGTCCCTATATACTGGTTTTAATAAGATAATTACAAGTTTACAACAAACTATAACAACAAAAGGTTACATATAATAAAATGATCTCTCTATTTCTTTAGATTGCAAGAAATAGATTCTTATAAGTCCATGTCATTAAAATGATGGCATTGCACTGCACAGGCAAGAAATCAACCTCAAATGTATTCTCTATACAAGTGTGTCCAGGCAGAGCCTAGGCTTTGATTAACCTAGAACTAGCATAATTTGTAGCTCCGTGGCATGTTTTCTGCAGACACACTGGGCTTTACTATTCCACACGCTGTGGAGCAGACTAGTTGGAGTTAAGCACTTTACCATTGGACATGGACTAACTTAACTAGATCACTACAAAGTGACTGTTTAGTCCTCAGGGCCGTACTTACTTGGAATAGTTTAAAATAATAGCAGAACACGTGCTCTCCCATGAGATTATTCCTTGCATACTCTTGTCCCGCTTTGGCAATTTTTTGGGCCTGTGTTGAAGAAAATATTTAGATGAATGCAGAGTATTTTAATTTAATGTTCAAACTTTTCTTAAAGCATGTGCATCATAATTAAAGGTCTATAATTTCCATGTACTCGATCCTTGCAATAGTACTAAGAAGATCAATACCAATATTGTACCAATGCAAAGCATGTTTTATTATAAACTAAAGAAAATTTAGTAAATGGATTTTTAATGAGAACATATTCCGATTAATAAAAAGGACATGGAAATATCCATTTTCTTTCTCTCTTCAAAGCTGTGATTAGTTAAAAAAATATATAAATAAATAAATAAATTATATAGGATATCAACTTATTTAAAATAGTTCACAAAAAGTACTAAATAAATTCTAGGAAATCTAAGTGCATTTATTTATATAAGAAAGAGAGGTTGAAACGATGGAAGACAATACATTGTTTAAGAATTGCAAGTTGGAAATTAGAATAAATAGCTTTATTCCTACCATGGTGTTCAAAATCTAATTATGCTCTTTATTCTTACTACAGTTTTTTGTATTTTCTACATTTTCAACTTGTGTAAATATTGGGAGTAGTTTATAATACGGCTCTTATTTCTAAAAGTACCCTTATTTGAAATGATAGTTAAAATGTACGAGGCTTAAAATGTACATATAAAAACTATTTTAAAAATTTTAAAATTTTGTCTTGAATTTAGCAACACCCAATGTTAAAATGTTCTTGGCTTTTTTTTTGCAAGTTATAGGGCACAAGTAGGACATTGATGTTTCAAAATATATATTTTTAAAATGTATCAATAATGACATTGTAATGGTCACGCCGCCTGCTGGGTCCGCTCCTGCCAGAGAGCGGATTGGGACACGGCGGGCACATCTCTGTCTGGCGGCATTCCTACGTGTTAATGGGAATGCCGCCCATCACTCACCTAAGCTCCTGACGGTAGCTCCTCCCCCTTACACAGCGGCCGGGTCTGCAATCATTAGAGACGCCGGCCGCTGCAGATTAGATGCTTTTAAGGGTTTATAATTAACCCTTAGAGTGCCATTCCATTTTGAATGTGTGGATGTGTCACACACACGTCCACTATCACATGCTTCCCTGCAGCCAATCAGGGAGCACCTCAGGCTATATATAGACACACATTTTTGTCCATTTCTCTGTGCCCTGTCGTGGTTATCCGAGAGCTCATTTCTGGTATTGACTCTAGTGTATTTGAACTTGGCTTTCCTTCTGACTATCCAATCTCTGTATTCCATGACCTTTGGCTTGGCTCCTGGCTATTCCTTGACCCTTGGCTTTTTCATGGTTTAGCGTTCTTATCCATATCCTGTCTTGTGGTTTTTTTCTTTTATACGTTAAATCTGTCCAATCTAAGGCCCGGCTAATACGTCTTAGGGTTTTCTTTTATTTTTACTTAAAGGACCACTAGAGGCACCCAGACCACTTCAGCTCAATGAAGTGGTCTGGGTGCCAGGTCCCTCTAGTTTTAACCCTGCAGCTGAAAACATAGCAGTTTCAGTGAAACTGAGGGTTAATCCAGCCTCTAGTGGCTGTCTGACCGACAGCCACTAGAGGCCGCTTACGCGATTCTGTGAAAATCACAGTGAAAAGACGCTGCCTTCAATATGAAAGCATTGAGTAATGCTTTCCTATGGGCGGTTTGAATGTGCGCGCGCTGCACATACGGTGCTGACGTCGGCAGGAGGAAGAGAGGTCACCAGCGCAGAGGGAGCCCGGCGCTGGAGAAAGGTAAGTGGCTGAAGTGGTTTTAACCCATTTGCCCAGCGGGAGGGGGGCATCAGGGTGGGGTGGACCTAAGGACTACATAATGCCAGGAAAACAAGTTTGTTTTCCTGGCACTGTAGTGCTCCTTTAAGTTCTGCGTGTTGGGCATCAGCTATTCCTGACAGTAACACTGTTATATGTCAAATCTCTGAATCACACCTCACATGTACATATTTTTTAAAAGTAGACAACCCAGGGTATTCAATATGGGGTATATCCAGTCTTTTTTAGTAGCCACTTAGTCACAAACACTGGCCAAAGTTAGCATTTACATTTGTTTGTGTGTTAACCCCTTAAGGACCAAACTTCTGGAATAAAAGGGAATCATGACATGTCACACATGTCATGTGTCCTTAAGGGGTTAAAATGCAAAAAACAATTATGAACGCTAACTTTGGCAAGTGTCTGTGACCAAGTGGCTACTAAAAAAGACTGAACATACCCCATTTGCAATACATTGAGTTGTCTTCTTTTGCAAATGATATGCCATCAAGGGGGTCATTCTCATTCCTGGGCTACCATACGCTCTCAAAGGCAACATAATCTGGCAAATTTCAATGTGAAAAAATGGGAAATCAAGCCTTATATTTGACCCTGTAACTTTCAAAAACACTAAAAAAACCTGTATATTGGGGGTACTGTTATACTCAGAAGACTTCGCTGAACACAAATATTATTGTTTCAAAACAGTAATTTGCCAAATGGGGACTGTCTAGGCCGTCAGGTAGTCCCCCCAGACCGGGAGCAAAACCAATTGCCGGCAGGGGAACGGTGGCGATCAGTAAATAATAAGGACGGCTCATTTTCGCTGTGGACGTACTAGGTACATCAGCAGTCCTTAAGGACTGTTTTTGGTCAGCGGCTCTGACACCTTGTATTTCATAAAAATATATAATCTTTATGTGATACTAATGCAGACTATGTTGGAATTTTATTGAATGTCCAATTCAATCCAAAAGATTCCATAAGACTTGTCTCATGAACAAGCCTGAGGTTACCAAAAGGCGTACCTCCACCGTCAACTTTTGTCCAATACCAGCAGTCATCATAAATGCCCCACCAGTAGGATCCAGGCATAATCTCGGTCGTTGCAAGACATGATCTATGGAGGCTCCTGCAGTCTTGCAGGTTTTTCCATAGACCTCAGTATAGTGTAATCATTTATAGAGTATGGATGTGGGTGAACGAGGTTTTGGCGAGCTTGATTTCATTCTGTAAAAGTACATGAAAATAAAAACGTTAATAGTTTGTTCTGGTAGTGAAGTGGTTAATGACAGATACATTATTCTTCACTTTAGTTACTCATTTTAACCCCTTTTAAAACCAGATATAATTGCACACCATTATCTGTTTTTTTGTGTGTTTTTTTAAAGGGTTACTCCAAGCACTATGAGCTTTCATGTCCTCCTTCTGGCAAGTGATGTCAGCTATGGAGGATTAAGCTACAGGGTGAAGTTGGCCTTGGCGCTTGATTCAAGTACGTTTAAGATTTTTTTTCAAACTGACCAACTACTGCTCAGCCTAACTTGCCTGCTGCTCTGATTGCTGTATGTGAAACTGCAGCTACAGGCAAGTTAAGATTGAGCAGCAGTTGTCCAGGAAATAGTAGAGTCTCACCTAACATGGCTTCTCAGCTAGATAAGAAAAAGAAAAAATTTCTTAAACAAATCAATATACGTCAATTAGAAAAAAAAAAAAAAAAGTTTCATTTAATGTAATAAATATTTACAAAATGCAACCGAAAATTTAATGAGAACATATCCCTTAGCAGGATGGTCCCGATTTTGGACTCCTATCCTTCCATCCCAATTTTGTTCCCCTGTCTCCTGCATCTGGGGATACTAGAGTCATTAGAGGCACACAAGCGGTGTTGAGAGCAGTAGGAACATGCAGTAAGCACGCAGTGCTCTCTAAATGGTATGCCCTGAGTGGAGATGGCTGGAAGACTGTCAGCCAAGTGGACATTCCTGCCAGGCGGACATGGCCCTTCTACAGTCAGCCCAGTTTCCTCTCTGGTGGAACCATCCATGCTGGGTATCACCGGTGGAGTCACTATTTACTTGCCTATTTAGGTCCCCCCATCCCAATCATACCTCACAATAATGGGTGGAATAACACAGCATTACCTTTCATACATGCATGCACACATGTTCAAATATGCATACATATGCACACTTCACATCATGTTGCCAAACATACACAATGCTTCATAGCTGTATACTTATACACACTCAGTCTCCTACATCCACCAAGCCTAAAAAATGTAGTACGCACATAAGCTCACACTCGCCTACATTTATGGGTAAGATAAATGGATAACGTGTTACTACCATTAATCAGTATAGGGCCAGAGCATCACACAAATGGATTTCTTCAAGCACCAGGACCACCATCTCTATGAAACACTGAACATGCAGAGTTAAATCCTGTTGCTGCTGAAGGTGTAACTCCACCTCTGCCAGTATCATTAGCCAGCCTGGAACAAGAGTTCTGGGTTGGCTAATGTGAATTTTGGTCAGATTGGACATCTGACATCAGCACACACAGCATGCTGGTAATGGCCGTTGCACACCTATCCACCCATGCGGTCCATGTCTAATAATACATTTTAACTCTACCTACAGTTATACATAAAGATTAGCCTTTTTAAAATAAAAAATAAAGAGTTTTTGCATTAAAACAGTGAATATACTCCATAATCCACACATCTAGGTCATCCACACGGTTTCTTGCATGGGGTGGGTTAAGGGTAGCCTTCGTTAAGGGGTGCTTCTCTGTGTGTCCCACATTTTGTTATGGGCTTTTGTGAGGGTATTCACCCTCAGTAACGGATTTCATATGCAAGTAAATCTTAATTAACTTAATACTTATGAACTAACTTTGACTATATTGCTTAGATAGGTTTGTCACCTTGAGTATTGATGTTTCTTACCATGTCTTGCCTTACTGCTACTCTGAATGTTTCAACTAAGTATGGCAGATTATTATTATTTTATTATTATTTATATAGCGCCAAATTCCGTAGCGCTGTACAATGGGAGGAATAACAGACACATTAAGATCAGACCACTGGACGTACAGGAACAGAGGACGTTGAGGGGGGCGTGTAGACGTGTTTCCTTACCTCACATCTTATGCATCATTCTTTTTTAGTCACGATCTACATATCTAGCTATTCTCACCTGATTATCAGTATAGCGTCTATTATCAGTATAGACATGTCAGTCTTGCCTGTTTGCTACTTCTATACAAGAAATTTGGTATTATTAAATGTCTGTAAAGTATCCTGCAATGTTCGCTCATCACATTTTGTTTATCTCACTAGGTGTTATGTCTGTGCACTTAACTCAATAAAAAAAAAAGAGAATTTAGTTACAACATATAGCAAACAATTGTGTTAAATGTAATTGTTTTAAAGAGTTAATTTGTCACAATCATATTTTAAGAATTTCTGAGCCCTTTACAGGACTCTCTGGGATTTTTCAACCTAGCATCTTAGTAGTTCACTGGTTTTGCATTACCTCTGCATCGTGATCTTTGACCCACTGGATTTTCTCAAGCAAATCACTGAGATCCTTCTTAAATGGTACATAATGTTTCCAGGGCTGGAGCTCATTGTAGAAGTGCTCGTAGTATATAGAGTCTTGCTTCAGAATCACACTGTCTCCTGCAAGGAGGTATGGCATTCTATAGGCAGCTACTGTACCATCAATTAGAATCTGATACTTGTACTGAAAGAAATCACAATACAATAAAATCAAATATATTTTGTGAATGTTGCTGAGAATTTCGCAGGCACTTTTTGTGGTAATTTTCTAGGGAAACATTTGGTAATGAGTTAGGATGCACCAATATTTATACATGCAATAAGGTAAAACCATTTAAAAATAAAATAAAAAATAAAAATGTAATTTATATTCTACATATTAAAGAGAGTTACTCCAAGCACCATTACCACATCAGTTATTTGAAGTGGTCATGGTGCCTGGAGTTTGTGGTGTACAGCGTTTTGCCAGCCTGGAGCAAGAGATCAGAAGAACACTTCTGAATTACCAACAGTGCGCAAACCAGTGGCAAACCCCATTGGTAGACGTTTTCCCCCCATTCATTAGATTCATTGCATCTTTATAAGAAGCACTTTCTGGAAGGGTTGTATTTTTTACATGAGATAAGGTACTGACAACATTGCCAATCTCTGGCTGATAGAAACAAGCATTATCTTGTGCAACGCACAATACATGCCTATTGTACTTTATTGTGGATGTGTGAGATTATCTATGGAATTCACAGGATCCACCATAGACCCATTTTAGTTATCGTGTGAGTAAGTAAGAATACTGTTCTAATAACAGCTACTGGCACATAAAGACACCAAAAGCGTAAGTACTACAGCAGAAGTATGGCAGCACCGAGAAGGGACTCCTTAAAGTTAAAAAAAAATTCTCCCTAACTGCCCTCCTCTCAGCCACCTCCTCACAAACAGACATGTCACCTTGTAAAGTCTTTATAAAAATGCAAAGACCCCAAAAGGGACAGTGTCACTTTAAACTGGTACATATTACATAATGTCTGTATGCTTTTCAGTAAGCTGAATCACATGTTTGCCTATTGAAATCTTAGTTAGTAAAATTGAACCTTTTCCTTTGTAGCAGCTGTGGACTTTGTTCCTTTTGTGAGCTATATTTTCCAGTGTTTGACTGCTGGAGTATAAAAGGAGACATGGAACAGCTGTACTGCCAAAGGTCAACTATCACTGCTTCAAATGGCTGACATGTTCAGATAACTTTATACAAGTCCTAAAGAGAGCACAATTTACCTGCAGTAAAACATGCCATTTGGCATTTTCAAGGATAATTCACTATTTTTGTTTTGGAACATCATCTAGTAAAATAAAATGAATATTATAGCATTAAAAAAAAAAAAAAAAGGTAGCCAATAGCGTGATTACTTTTCTAGGAAGTGAAAATGTGGTGGAATCTCGGTAAAAATAAATTTAGTAGGCCGAGATTACCACGTGGCATGTGTACGTGCATATGCTGACGTATCGATCAGTTGGTTGCACGAGGCAAGATACGATCAGTAGTGTACAGAGCATGTGCAAGAATACAGGATGTAGTATTCCCCTCCTCCATTGTGCTGGACAAGCCATGCGGTCAAGCAGGAAGTTAATTCTTATTTGTAATGATTGGTCAAGAGAATGTGCGGGTGGAGCTTAATATGGGAGGAGTTATGTGCCTATATAGGGAGCCTGCACTATTGTTCAGGGCTCAGAACTTGCTGTATTTTTGGTGACATTAGTCCCTCTGAGTCCCGATCGGTGATCCAATAAAGAATCTCTTCCTTCCTGAAGAAACCTGTGTCCATCCCTCTGTGCTTTGCTTCCGTCAGTTTCTCCGGTATCATTTGGTGCATTGGCCGGGAAGCTCATCGTTCAACGGTAGCTGAGAGGCAGAGGCGTGAGACGGTCTATCTTTGCCCACGTTCTCTACGGCTGCACCCCTGAACTTCTGCGTGGACCTCCCTTCGTCTCGGCGCCACTGGTCTGTTGTCCAGGAGATCATCGGCCTCTACGTAAGAAGTGCTGGGGTGTCCCCGTCGATGAGTGTGAACTCAGGTTCAGGAACGAGGAGGTAAGACAACTGCTGTTTTAGACGGCAGACCCACTAGGGGTATACCGATTGTGCGGTAGGCCCAAAAGGGGTTTAAATCTGTGTATGGAATCTGCCCCCTCTGTCGGAGGGAAGGAGCGAAGGCGCACCGCTCGATCGAACGCTCTTTAGTAAGACCGTTTGATCTGGTTAGTCAGGCGGGGTCCTGTGTAAATAGCCCTAGCCGGACACCGGTGTCTTGTCTAGACTAGCGTTCTAGGGTGTATATTACGTTCGCTAGGTCGGAGGGACCGGGAGACTAAGCGGCGCCTGTGTAAATTCGGTTCGCTAGCTCTCAACCTATCTTGGCTAAGTGGGAAGGCGTGTAAATTTGGAACCCACTAGACTTTTGATAGAGTAAATAGACTAGAAGGGCAATTTTGTAAATTTCGCCCTCTAGTTCGCTATATGTGGTGTTTGGGCAGTGTGGCTAACCAAAACGGGTGTATATAGTTTTAGGTAGTCCATTCAAGGTACTGGCCAATAGTTTAGTTGGGATTGTAAATGTGTTAAAGATTGTTAGTAAAGTGTATATCTTGTTAGATAGCGCGAGCTCAGCCGTCTAGCGAGAGTGTTAATAGTGTGTTGCTGTATCATAGTGCATGGTACCATAACCCTGTATATTTACTGACATTGTATATAAGTACTAATCATTGTCGTCTATTGCATGTTTAACACCGTAACCACTAATAATTGTATTGTGACCTTAAATTGTGCTTTGACCTATGCTAACCGTACTGTAACCGATACTAGTAAAAGACGATGTTACTGGGGTGTGTTATAGACGGGTAATTCATATATAGAGAATTATAGCGTGGGTGACTGTATAGTTTCGCCAAAGGGCATAATATTGATTATTTAGTGACTGGTGTAACAGCTGTGTGTGTACGGGAATTCCCTGAGTGATTATTGTGTTATTGTGTACGTTTCACTCGGTAACTGTACCACGTGGTGCTGTTGCCAGAGGAAACGGGTGTGACTGTTGAATAAGAACGCGTGCATAGTATTCGTTGTCAACGACGTTCCATTGATAAGTATGGGCGCGTCAGAGTCAACGATTTCGGATCCCTTAGGTTGTATGGTAAAGAATTTTAAAAAGGGATTCAAAACATGTGATTTTGGGGTTAAAATGTCTCCTGTACGTTTGGTCACTTTGTGCACTAGGGAGTGGCCTACTTTGGTTGCGGCATGGCCGCCGCGTGGCAGTTTGGATCCAACCCTGGTACAGCGTGTACACGTGGCTGTATCAGGTAGGCCTGAACTTTACGGACAGTTTCCATACATTGATTGTTGGGGGCAGGCCGTAAACGACTCGCCAAAATGGATCCGGATATGCCACGAGGAGCAATGTCGCCTCATGGTGGCCAGGACTTGTTTGTCCACTAGGACTGGTGTTAGGCCCATTTTGGACACGCCCCCTGAGTCCGAGATCCCTTTGCCGCCTCCTTACTTCCCTTTAAGAGGAAGTGACGCGAATGCAGGAAGTTCTGCACCCCTTCCCCTATTGCCCCCATCCACTTCCGCTTCCTCCTCCAGTACAGAATCCACCCCCCCTCGTATTAAAACTCCCCTTCCGGAACCAGGACCAACCCCCATTAGGTCTGAATATCCTGATTTGGCGCCACTTCAAACTTCCGGTCAAGCTTCTTCTAGCTCGGCTCGGAGTATACTATTCACTAACTTTTCACAAAATCAAGTTCCCACATCCTCATGCCCTAATACCTCTCGACCGGAACCTTTAACTGACGCCCCTCCACGTAGCCCCATACTAACCCGACAACTGACCGGTACCCAACAATTAAAACATTATCAGATGCCTCTTCGTCTGAATCCTGGGTCAGCCTATATCGATGCTGCAGGTCAAATGGCACATGCTGACCCAGTCTTCGTATATGGCCCGTTCACGACTACCGATCTCTTGAATTGGAAGACCCACAATTCCTCGTACACTGAGAAACCACAAGCTATGACCGATCTGTTCACCTCGATAGTTCAGACACATAACCCGACATGGGCTGGTTGCCAGCAGTTATTAATGACATTGTTCAATAATGAGGAAAGGACAAGGATTAACCAAGCGGCCATTAAGGCGCTAGAGGAGAGAGCCCGTGCTTTAAATCAAGCCAATCCGGCAGCATGGGCCGCAACACATTACCCTAACACCGATCCCGACTGGAATGTAAATGGCGCAGATATGGCTCAACTTAAAGCCTATAGAGATGCTATAATTGCTGGCATGAAAGCCGGAGGGAAGAAAGCTATTAACATGTCGAAGACGGTTGAGGTGATTCAGAAAAGTGATGAAGCGCCCAGTGTCTTTTATGACCGATTATTGGAGGCATACCGCTTGTATACCCCCTTTAATCCGGAAGACGCTGATAATTCCCGAATGGTAAACTCCGCCTTTGTCAGCCAAGCTTACGGAGATATTAAGCGCAAGCTACAGAAATTAGAAAGGTTTGCAGGTATGTCTATCACCCAACTAATGGGTATGGGCAATGTATGAATAGGCTTGGTAAGAAAAAGAGGAAAGAAGCGCTTAAGATAAAGTAGAAAGGCAGTGTGGTAGCGGTAGCGATGTAAGTAGATAGAGCGGGGAGGCTCAGATAGAAGTGATAATTACCCAAGATGGAATAAGGGCCTTTGGTAGGAATATTGGTACGGGAAGAGGGCATTTAGGAGGGTAGGTATGCTTGAGAAGGCAATGCTGACTTTTAGGGCAGGTTATGGAAACTTTAGAGGCAGAGCGAGAGGTAGAGGAGGCCCCGGAGGGAGTAATGGCAATAGAGGGAGTAATGGGAACAGAGGAAGTGTAAGGGAAGATAGGTACTATCCAGCAGCGCAAAGGTCCCGCGATAGAGAAGGTAGGGACTTTGTGGGATTGGCTGACACGGTCATGGAGGACTATTGATATCAATAGGGGGAAAAAGGAGTGCGTTCATGATCGACACTGGTGCTGAACATTCGGTGGTGACTAATCTAGTTGCTCCTCCATCTGGAAGAACTATTACTGTAATAGGAGCAACTGGAAGAAGTGCTGAAAAAACGGTTCTTAAAAGTCGACTCTGTACATTGGGAGGCCACGTAGTAAAACATCAATTCCTTTATATGCCTGAGTGTCCAGTCCAATTGCTGGGACGTGATATGCTATCCAAATTACAAGCGCAGATTACGTTCCTAACAAATGGAACAACATCCTTAAAGTTTAATGGACCCTCAGGTATTATGACATTGTCCGTACCAAAGGAAGAAGAGTGGCGACTTTATACAGTGTTGACTAGCCAAAACCCGAGGAGTGATGAATCCTTATTTAACATACCAGGGGTTTGGGCAGAGAACAACCCACCAGGACTGGCCCGCAATATTCCACCTATTAAAATCGAACTAAAACTTGGGGTTTATCCAGTAAGCCTGAGACAATATCATATTCCGCAGAAGGCTAAGAAGAACATCCAATCTTATCTGGATAAGTTCATACGGTATGGTATCCTAAAAGTTCTGTACTTCCCCCTGGAACACCCCATTGCTGCCTGTTCAAAAGCCCGGTACAGATGAGTATCGACCTGTGCAGGACTTGAGAGCAGTCAATGATGCGGTTGTTAGTATACATCCGGTCGTGCCCAATCCATATAACCTGCTTGCTTTAATTCCGGGCGGGGCTACTTACTTTACAGTCTTAGATCTCAAAGATGCCTTCTTTTGCCTCCGAATTGCCGTAGAGAGCCAATGTATCTTTGCTTTCCAATGGGAAAATGCTGTAACGGGCTCGAAACGCCAAATGACCTGGACAAGATTGCCCCAGGGGTTTAAAAATTCACCTACCCTATTTGGTTCAGCTCTAAGTCAAGATCTACTAGATTTCGAGTCTATCCCAGGAGAGTGTGTATTATTGCAATATGTAGATGACTTGATGATAGCAGCAGTTACAAAGGAAGTATGTCAGCAA